TTACCTTTTGTTGTTTATTTTTTGCTTTCTTTTTAATTAGCACTTTATTATACTCCTAAACTCAAAGCGAAAGAGCCTCAACTCACCGCAGCATGTGTACACACCGCTGCGCCGGTCCTCGATCGTAGCCGAGGCCTGTAAACATAAGGAATTAATATAATGCATTACACAACAAAATAAATAATATATAATAAAAAAAGCAACAGGAGCTGCAAAAAAACATATATTGTAAACATTTTGTTTATACTGTTAACACCAACGAGATAGTTGAACCCCTGCTTACAGTTGACGACGATAGCTCACTCTATATACACTGCAGCAGCTCCCCCTAAACAGCTGTAATCTGCTTCTCCCCTGTAGGCTTCTTGCGCACAGCGGGACGAGGGCCTGTGCTGACGGTGTAGAGGAGTGTAGTGTATTTGTGTGTGTATGGAGTTGGTACTGTTGTGTGTGCAGCTGTTTGCTGTTTACACGCGTAGCTGAAACCTTACACCATTGATGTGACCACTGGTCAGATTCCTCGTCACAATAGAACGACCACACACACCATCGGAACTCCATCTTATAGCCGTAGATATTCTTACAGCGAAAACAATTTATTATATATAAAGACCTCAAGCTCTGCTGGTCGACCAAATACGATGCAGTGTAGTTTCATCTTCAATATGTTTACCCCGCAAGAGCTACAGATGCTATCAGCGCCCATCTGCTTCATCAGCATACGAGGTATACACATGTAGTAGGGCCCAGGGGCACGAGGCTGGTGTGGAGAGTAGGGTGGGGGCCCCTGTTCTGAGTTGCTGCACAGCCAGCTGTAACGAGTGCTTCACGGCAACCACGCATGCAAGCACACAAACTTGATGCCTGTGCTAACACTGTAGACAACTGCTAACCCTTCAGTTTCCCCGCAGTAGCCGAGGAGTGGCCCGCAAGTAGAAATAGCTGTTTCCTCTTCAAGCAGATACAACGATGAGCTCTGGTGGTATTTGTTTGTTTCACAGTCGACTCGGCTCGATGTATTGATACTGTGTTGTTCGCCGTCAACAGGCAGCATAGCACAACACCAGTATCTATCTCTAAGGGGAAACCTTGCTGCCCTCTCTACCCCTTAATATATATAATAAAATATAATGCTGCTGTTACTGCAGTTAGCTTCAAACTAATTCTTCACTTTACGTAGTTGTTGCTATCTTTATTCTCGTTTTTGTTTTCTGCAGCGATTTGCTCTCGGAGTATAACTGAGCCACGAATGAAAGGACAGCTGCTTGGAGGCTCATGCAGGCAAACCCTAAACCCTATAAGCCCGTAGCCCCTAGGCCTTCACCGAAGTCAGAACACATGAAAAAATATTAGGGTTTAGGGTTTAGGGTTTAGAACCCCGGCGGACACTGGCTGCCAGCGCCACCGCAAAACACCCTAAACCCTAAACCCTAGATGCACAACCCCAGCCCTCACATTCGGGTTGCTGAAAATGCAGCATAACAAATTTAATACTGCATAGAAATTCTTAACATGCTATCACCTAAACAAAACGCGAAAAAACAATACTCATAAGGGGGCCTCTGCTCAGCCCGGTGTAGGGTACAGCATGAGGTGTATGTACACCTGCACGCCTGCAGCAGCAGCTGTTTGTTTGTTTAATATTTATTTCTCTGGGTTCAGCACCTCAGTTTCCAAGGGAGGAGACGGTTCCTTCTCCATATATTTAATCGACAACGAATTCACGCAGTGGCGCTCGTTGGTATCCGTGAAGCTGCAAAGCCAAACCCTAAACCCTCAACAAACCCTAAACCCTCAACAAACCCTAAACCCTCAATAAACCCTAAACCCTCAACAAACCCTAAGCCTTCAACAAACCCTACTACGCGCTCAGAAAAGAGTATTGGAGTGAGCTATCAACTGTTTCATGGAGCTACTTGCCGGACCTAGGGTTTAGGGTTTAGGGTTTAGGGTTTAGGGTTTAGGGTTTGCACAGACCGTTCGCCATTGAAGACGTGGCCTAAGTGGCCCCCGCAGGTGCTGCAGATGATCTCCCAGCG